GACTTGAATTCTGACGGACAGATTTTAAGTTGTGACTGACCCTAGATAGCACAAACTATAAATAGACTCAGCGCAAAACTCAAATCCACAGTATCACTACTTTTCCTACACATAATTCACAGTATGATCGCGCAGGATGCAGCGCAATACTGTCATACAGTCCCAGAACAATTTGGAGTCAGAACAGGTCAATAGATAGTGAGATATGAGTCAGGGTAGGGAGGAAGAAGATGGATATGGCTATCTTGCAGTCTGACAATTTCACGATTGTGACCCTACTAACAGACAGACCATCATTTCTAGTTTTACTGACTCTACACTAATCGCTACTTAGGGAGTCCCATGGAACACACTCACTTGAAGTATTTCACTCAGTGGGTGATGAAGCTCTGGCTATGGCTGCCAAACCCTTGTCTCGCCAGCACTTGCAGACACTCTTCCACAGCTTCCCACCTACAGAATCTCCTGAAACTTGTTGATCCGCTCCAGTATGATGTGGCGATTCAACTCCACCCCTCAGATTCACTGAATCTGGCTCAGTGGCGAGAGAATACTCTCCTGAAGGTATCTCGCCACTGCAGGTATGAGCCGCTGGTGCTAAATTTATCCCTGAGTGGGGTTAATTTAGCAGGAGGTGATCCTGTGATCAATCCTCCCTCAACGTTGTACTGGGATTGAAGCCGCCACCCAGTTATTACTGGATTAGGGTATAATTCGCCACCTTGATCCCTGTCATCAGCTGAGGTGAAATAGGTGGATGGCGAAATATCCCTGTTCTCGCCACTTCCTGTCGGGCACACAGACAGGCTCAGGGTGCCTGATCAATCGCAAACTGATGCCCTGCAATCACCGCTTGTTTGTCTTCTCTTCCACTGACTCTTTACTGAAGAGGAAAAACCACCATGGTACTTCTCGCCAGTTAGTGCCAGAAAGAGAAGCTGCCCCTGTTGCGCTCAACCCTCTGAGCTCCAAGTCCAATCTTCGCTCCGATACCAACTGTTATGAACTTGGTTGTTTGACAATTTGATTGCCACTCACACACAGAAGAACTCACACACGCCCATACATGCATGAGACACAGGGGAGGAAGAGACAGAGTCCACCTGCGCACAGACCAGAGATAAACAGTGGAATAACAACCATGCACAGATGGGGAGAATACACACAGTGTTCTCTCTCTCTGATGAGCTCCCAACAACCAATCACAGGATGACACTGCGAAGACCACAATTGGGAAGTAACCTAGATGATGAGCCAACTCAACACAATTAACCCCAATTATCGTTTCAGAGTTCAACCCAGTGTCTCGCCACCCTAGTACCACACACTCCACTCACTACTCCACTCTCAGAGTCTAGCGCTGCACTGAAACAGCCTCCCAGAGGCCAGTGCCATACACCCAAATGAAGATCATGAACAGCGATGTAGTCCCCAGTGCCGATGAGTCACTCTGACGATGAAGAAGGTAGCTATGGCTACCTGGCTGCTACCGCAGCAGCAGTACCCACATGTACTCAGTGAAGACCCTCCGATAGCATGCTCTTTCTCATATGGAGGTAAAACTGTTCATTGGTGGATTGGTTCATCTTTAGTGTGCTTCATTGTCTGCAATAGAGGTAAAGCTGCGTTGATTTTGGATCTACTCCTCTGGATGGAACAGAGGCTGTTGTGGTGACAATCTAGAACACACACACACACACACACACACACACACACACACACACACACACACACACACACACACACACACACAGAGAGAGAGAGAGAGAGAGATAGATAGATAGATAGATAGAGAGAGAGAGAGAGAGAGGGCTTCATCCATTCCCAATGCTGCTTCTGCATCTTCCACTGTCTAGCAGATGAGTTTCTGGTACTGGGGCTATCCTGTGAGGTGGTGGCCCGTTGATTCATCTTTACCATGTTGTATTGTTTATATTGCATATTTGGTTTGGACTCACTTACTGCCAAGGGTCCAGTCTGGTTTGGAGCACTGGGGTAGCTATCCGAAGTCACGCGAGACTGATGATGCCTCATGCAAGGGGGGATTTCATTAGTGGTCCTTCCAGTGAAGTTAGCAGAGTGGTAACATAGGATAGCTGTGCTCTGTTGTTCACAAAATGTAGTATGTGTTACACGTAGGGACCTCGTCCATTATTTATCACCTGCACTGAAGAACGGGGGGGCCCCGCTTCATTGTGCATCTATGGTAAAGTGCAGGTCATTTGTGGTTGGCAAATCCAGGTCGATTTATACAGCCCATCCTGCATGGGCCAGGGTTTCATTTTTAGCAGTGACGGTGTGGCAGTCCGGCTGCACTGCCGCCAATCCACCATTGGTGGTAATTTAATTTTGCCATTCTTTATTGGGACAAAGGTGGAACCTGTGATGTTTCACCCAGTTGCTTCTTCAAGTGATTTTCGTCGGTGGCAAGAAACCAAATTAGATGGTGATGAATTCATGCCTGTGTAGGCTTGTACTCACACCGACACGCTGTAACCTTCTTTTGAAAAATGACCATGAGGAGGCAAGATGCCTGAGAAAGGTGGCTTGGCAATTCAGAAGCCTTGGAGTCTATCCTCAAAACCAAGGATCAGTATAACGTGAAACGGTTTTCACCTCTTTGCAGTAGCAGACACAGTTCCCAGGGTTCGATCCCTAGACCTTGCCCTATCTGTGTACAGTACCTGTGTAGACCCCGAGAGTTGAACCTGTGGCCTGTGTATTCGTAAACAGTTGATAGGCTGTCATAGGTCCGTAGGTAGCAGGGGTTCGATCTGTAGACCTGTAGGATAGAAGTCTTAGCGAAGTTTAGAAGTCCTAGCTGTAGCCTTCTAGAAGGTCAGCAAGTGGGCAAGTGGGCAAGTGGTGAGTCAAGTGGCGGACTAAACTGCAGTGCAATTGCAGTACGGTGGTGGTAGGTTAGCAGTGAGTCCCCACTCAGTCAGCGGTAAGGTTCAGTCAGTCCCAGTCCGGTCCAGCAAGACCCACAAGGGACTGAGCACCATGGGCTGATGGAAGAGGGCAGACCAACGAGTTTCAGAAGTATAAATCAAGAGGCAGYGCCCAGCCTTTCATTCATTCCTGCGTGAGCCATGCGGAAGCGCTGCCACAGCAACTTGTGCAAGGAGGTCTGCAGTGAGCCCGAAGCTGAAGTGGGCGAGAGTGGTGGAGCGTAGCATAGTGATAGGGTAGTTGCGGCCATAGCCGCCATAGCTAGAGTTAGTGTGTAGTGTGTGTGTGTGTAAGTTCAAAGAGTTGCGTGTGGGATATCCAGGGTGATCCGGTGTATGTGAACAGTGAGTTGTTTGGGCGCTGAGTCGCCATAGCCAATTGAAAGTGAACTCGTATATGGATGCCATATCTCTGAGTTTTGAGTGGGCGCATGTCTCCAGTTTGCTGCGCTACTGTTTACATGCATGAAAAGTGTGAATGAGAACGAGTCTGATTGCATTGGTATCAGAGCTGGTACCCGCTATTCCATGCGCGCCGTCGTGTGCAGGGCCTGATGCGCCTAGCTGAGGTGGCCGCCGAGAGTCATAGTCCGCCATAGCGGACCGGAAGGTTGGAGAAGCCGCCGTGCATCTGCAGAGAAGACCACCACGAAGAAGAAGACCGGGAGAGAGAGAGAGAGAGAGAGAGAGAGAGAGAGAGAGAGAGAGAGAGAGAGAGAGAGAGAGAGAGA